GCATTAAAACGGAAATTTTCTCCGAAAACATCTATAGCGGGTAGGGAACGGTTGCGAAAAAACTAAATTCGCTCAAAATGCCTCAAAGGATGCAAGATTTTTGTCAAAACAGGATGCGAGAAATGCAAGGAGCTCATTGGAAGACACGATGATCTAGTCAGTTTTCAGCAGTACCAATTTTTAACCGATATTAGAAAGGAAAGAAGCAGGTTTCTTTGTATGAGAGTCTACTTTATTTTTGATGCTCCTTTACCGAACAGAATAAATGATGTTTAACCTGGACCACCTTGTATATGCATTTTGAAGAGCTCAAAAACACACTACTGAAAATTTTAAATCGCATAATTAAGATGGTTTTACTTCTGATACGAAAATATTGCTCTTCTAGTTCTAGTCTGGGAAAACCTCTTTAACTTCATCGAAGAAATCGCTCAGTATTTTGGCTGCTTTGCCCCTCAAGGCTCGAATATTAAATCGAGAACATACCGAAGAACCAACACAAATACCGTGAAATAAAAAACGAATAAACCAGCATATTTGCTATTTGGAACGACAATGTTCGATATTCCCACTATCAGTCTGTTCGAAAACATTCTGAAGACCTCGTGGACTTATTCGAATCGGGAAAATCGGTACCATTTTTCCAGCTGCTTTTCACTTGTGTCGAAATGGCGTGCAATTTTTTATCGTTGCCCAAAACGAGCGAAAAGCCTAAATCCACGGACTCGATGTCGGAAGTTTCCGAAAGCGGTACCACGACTTCAGGATGGGCATCACGCTGGGACTCCCGAGAAGACCTACGCGACTTGATATCCAGATTGGGACTCAATGATGCCTCCGAGCTCTATCAGGAACGATTCAGAGTGGATCGCTCCAAGCTAGAGAAAATGATCACTGGTAAACTCTCCATAAAGCGCTTGAAAAAAACACCGGACATACTTAACATTTTTCCATTCAGATAACAATTTTGCTTTATTTCCCGCTGATGTGTTTTTCGCGCAAGTGATGGAAGACACCGACACGATCATCACATGGCCGAACAAGCTGAAAATTGGGGCCAAATCCAAAAAGGGTAATTTTCAATTCTTTTGTGTCCCCAATTGCTTCATGCTGTTGCTATTTAGATCCTCATGTTAGAATAGCGGGCAGGCCTGAAGATGTGCAATGTGCCAAAGACCGGATTTTAACCATATTAAGCACGAGGGTAAGTACCTGACTTGCTCAGCGTTCTTATTTTGCTTAATCTAAACCTTCCCAACACAAGTGAAAATCCATTGAAACATCCACAAGTCCTATTGAAACGCACTAACAGGCAATCTGCACTTTGACGCTTCTAACTTAAAAAAATGCCAAGAAATAAGGAAATGTGGGATTCAAACGAGAGTCACCGAAATTAGGGACCAAAATATTCTTTATAAAATTGCTCTAAAAGCAACTCGTTGGCTGATTCGCATTTAGTTACATTTCTTTAAAAAAATTCCTCTCAAACGCGGTGGCAACCAAGTTGCATCTTGACGCTTCCAACTTAAAAAATTCTCAAGAATTAACAAAATGTGGTATTAAAGTAAAAATCACCTTAATCAAAGACCCAAGTATGCGCTATTAAATGGTGCTAAAACCAACTCTATAATAGGTTCCTATTTTAACTGACAATTTTTAGAAAAATCGCATGCAATAGTGATGGAAGCCAAACTACACCTAAAAGCATTGAACATGAAAATTCCGAATAAATAAGAAAAGGTGGGACGAATTTGAGAATTGCTGTAATTATAAAGCAAAGTATTAATGTTCAAAATAGCTCTACAGCGGGTCCACACTTCGAGTTCAAAATTTTCTAATAGTTTCCTCTAAACGCGGTCGTGGCCAAACTGCACTTTGAAGCATCCAACTTGAAAAATTCTGAAGAATTAAGGAAATGCGGGATTAAAACGAAAATCACCGCAACAATAGACCGAATTATTCTCTATGAATTGGGCTCAAAATAATTTTATTTCTAGTCCAAATTTCCAATAATGCATTTTGGAAAAATCTATTCAGACGCGATCGCATCCAAATTGGGCCTTAAAGCTTCCAACTTAAAAAATTTCTCAAGAATTAAAAATGTGCGGAATTAAAACAAAAATCAGCGTATTCCACACTATTCATTATTAAAAGCTGAGAAAAGTAGCTCTTTTGACGGTCCTCATTTTGGGTGACAATTTTTTGAAAAACCTCTGTTAAACACGGTTTTTGCCAAATTGCGTTTTGAAGCTTCCAACTAAAAAAATTCTCAAAAATTAACCAAATGCGGGATTAAAACGAAAATCACCGCAACAATAGACCGAATTATTCTCTAT